ACACATCTTTGTATATGGCATCACCAACTTCAGTATCATTTCCATCTCACATATTCTCTCATCTGCATCAATGTCTTTACCAGCTGAACCCTACGTCGAACTTCCCAAACACATGTACCAGAAAGGGGTCAAGCATTTGTGCGAGAACGGTGTGACACAAGTTCCACACAAGTACATACTACCCCCTCAAGAGAGACCAGTAAGTTTAGTCGTTAATGACTGCATCCACTTACCCGTTATCGATTTCACACAGCTTCAAGGCATGGACAGAAGCCGAGTCCTTAAAGTTCTCTCTAAAGCTTGTCGAGAGTTTGGATTCTTCCAGGTATGGTTCGGAATAATATGGTTGAATATATTTAATTAAATTTAGCTCATGTTTGGCTCATTATTTAATACAGGTGGTAAACCATGGGATTGCAGATGAAGTGATTGGTAAGATGATAGACGTAAGCAAAAGGTTTTTCGAGCTCCCTTTTGAAGAAAGACAAAGGTACATGTCGAATAATTTGTCTCAACCAGTTCGATATGGCACTAGCTTCAACCAGAATAATGATGGAGTCTTCTGTTGGAGAGACTTCTTGAAGCTAAGTTGTCACCCCATGCAAGATTTCGCTCCTCTTTGGCCTTCTTCTCCTGTTGATTTGAGGTAAAACTCTACTTGTATACAAAAATAAAACAGAATTAGTTAAACTTGAAATCATGATAAAACCAAAACTTTTGAACTCAGAGCTCTAAACGAATGAATTTAGGCCTGATAGTTACACCTAAACGTACTGCCTTTCAGTAGACTCCTTATATATAACTCCTATTAGGTCACTTGGATATTTATCTACTTTCCATTGTATTTGCTAAGCTCTCATTGGTCCATAAACTTTTCGACAGTTCAATCTGCTTTGATAGTCTTGTTCTAATGATATATTATATTCTAATTAACAGGGAAGCAGTGGGTGAGTACTCAATGAAAACCAGGCATTTGTATGAAAGGGTGATGGATGCAATACTCGAAAGCCTTGGGCTTACCGATGAGAAAGTGCTTTCGAAAGATGGTAGTCAGCTTGTCATGGTGAACTGTTACCCTGCATGCCCACAGCCTGAACTCACACTTGGTCTCCCGCCTCATTCCGACTATGGGTTGCTCACCCTTCTGCTTCAGGACCAAGTTGAAGGTCTTCAAATACAACACAACGACAGATGGGTTACTGTTAAACCCATTCTGAATTCATTTGTTGTCAATATTGGTGACCAGTTTGAGGTTAGTTAATTTTTTGCTCATCAAGTATTCAGCTTTTCGCAATCTGGTCATTTTTTATAAATGATAGTATCTTAAAGGTAACAATGGGTGTCTACTCAACAGATCTTTAGCAATGGAAGGTACAAGAGTGTGGTTCATAGGGTTGCAGTTAATTCCATGCGGTCTAGACTCTCTGTGGCATCCTTACACAGTGTAAACGAAAATGTTACACCGTCACCAAAGCTCATTGACTATTTGAATCCTAAACGTTATGAAGATACAAACTATGCCGATTTTCTAGACTATCTTACGTCATCGGAATTCAAGTGCAAAAGATTTCTAGAATCAAGGAGGATACATTAAGTTCAACAGACCATTTTATATGTTAATTATTTTGTTGTTGGTTGATATATATACTATGTACGTGTAATGGGTAGAGAATATGTTATGAGTTTTATGTATGAAAATCAGGGAATTTATACGAGAATTCTAAATTAAATACGAAATACCATTCTTTGAAAAAAAAATAATATGCTAAAACATGATGTATACATGCATAAAAGAAATAATTATTAGCTTGAAAAAGCCTGTTAGGGCAATCGTTGTTGCTCAATGAGAGAGTTGAATGAGGTAGCAAGTGTATGTGTCATTCAATGGATGAAACTCTATCATTGTGAGATGTCACATTGACATTCAATAGATTTGGAGTTCAATGGTCATTGTACTCTTCAATGGGAAAAATGAAAGTTTTTAATTCTTGAATATTTACTATAAGTTACATTTTGTAACATTCTATTGAACTTTGTAGAGTTCAATGCATTGTAGGAAAAAATGATAGTGTTGTATGAATTGTAAAAAGACGATGTGGCAATCCATTGAACTCTATGAAGTTCAATGCATTGTGGATGCCCTCAGTTGATTCATATGTTAACATGATGGTTAAATGAATTAGCAATCAAGCTAGATGTATTTGATGCTTTCATAAACGAAATCATTGCGCTAAGGTTCCTATGATCTACGTGGCTAAAAATAATCTTAACCAAACCATTAATTAAATTGGGGTGGACATAGTCTTTGTAAGAGATATGAGCATAGTGAACTCATTATAACTAAGAATAACCAAACCGACTATAAGGTCAAATACCGCCGAAAACACATTCAATCGAAGTAGTATGATAATTGTTGAAAATATAAGCTAAAATTAGATTTATGTTGTTTGTTAGTATTAGGTATAATTTGGTGTTGGTTAAATGATAGTTGGGTGCAATGGTTGGTATTAAAGGGCGTGATGCTTCAGGGAAATAACAGTCGCATAAAATGTATATATATGTGTCATTTGATGTAATAAATGTTGTTCTTGAATGTTAATAAAAAAAACCTTTATTTTTAGAGTTCAAGAATCATGTTCTCTCCCCTCCTTGTGTCTTGTGTGATTGGAAAATCATATTTCTGCAAGTTACATGTTTGTTTTAACGTGTTTTCTCCAACAATAATTAATGTTATATGGATTGTTAATGATTCAATTAAGTTACATGTTTGTTTTAACGTGTTTTCTCCAACTATAATTAATGTTATATGGATTGTTAATGATTCAATAATATAAAGTAACGAAAAACAAATAAGAGGAAAGAAAAGGAACATCGAGATTTTAGGTGAAAACCCTAATAAGAAAAACCCATGTATACTCTAATATAAGAAACCCAATGGTATATTTATAATTATGTCTTCTATATTGACAAGTTCTACATAGTTTAAAAATTATTTTTCCTTCTTAGTCAACTAGGTCTAAAATGAACAAACCAGGTCTAAATTAGACTACAAGTCTAATTTGGACTAATCAGGTCTAAAATATTTTACAAATGTTTTATTATTGAATGATTAAATTTGACAATATTAGCAAACCTTTAACTTTTGTGGCTTCACTTCAACACAACTTTCTTGAAATAGGTTTGGTAGACATCTAATTAAGCAAGTCTTTTTCTTCCCATTTGATAACTACACCTCTTCAACAAGCTTTGAGGTTTTCATCCCTTTATCATCAAATCACCATTTTAGTTTATTGTAATCTCTTTGATCAAGATCTGTAAAGACTTCAATATTTAGTGGAATGGTTCTCAGCTTCCCCAGCCCGTGGTTTTTTCCCGATTTGGGTTTTCCGCGTAAATCTCTTTGTCTCTCCGATTTACTATTTTGCTTGGTATTTTTCATTTCATGCGGTTGATCATTATTTCATATATTAATCATATTCCACATGAACTAACATTATTCTTATGATTCAGATTTCTGGGTTGTTTGATGCATTAGGGCATTTCACTTTAGTGCATTCTTATCCTCTTTGTTTACAACAATTGCTATCAGAGCTTCCAGGTTTAATATTAGTTTGTTTGGGTTATTTTATCGATTGATTTAACATGTCCTCGATGAAATACGATATCCCGTTGCTCGATCAAAACACTAGGTTTCCACTATGGCAAGTAAAGATGAAAGATGTTCTTATTTAGATAGATTTAGACAAGACACTTTTTGTTTCTAAGTCTCTTTCTAATCCATATCAGTCCTATTTTTGGCACCTTCGACTTGGCCATATGAGTTTTCAAGGCATGTATGAATTTTGTTGAAGAGGATTACTTGGTGAATGAAAGATTGTTGATTTAGAGTTTTATGAAGACTATATATATATATATATATATATATATATATATATATATATATATATATATATATATATATAGCAAGGCTAAACGACTTAGTTTTATTAGTGGTATTCATACAATAAAAGGACCGCTTGACTATGTCCACTCAGATTTGTGAGGACCAACTCGAGTTGCTTAGAAAGGTGCAATTATTTATTTGCTCAATATTATTGATGATTTTCCAGGAAGGTGTGGTCTTTCTTATTGAAACATAAGGGAGACATTTTTTCTACCTTTAGAAATTAGAAAGCACAAGTTGAAAAGCAATCAGGATTGTTGGTAAAGTATCTTCACATGTATAATGGACTTGAGTTATGTTGTAACGTCCCATTTTCTCAACCAAAAATTTTTATTTTATCAAAGTAAAGCTCCCCCATTGCAAATCCATTATAAAGAAAATCGTTTACTCCAAATACATTTATTGAAAATCAGAGTAATATTAAAGCGCAAAATCTTTATTGTTGTTGATGAATGTGTATATTCATGTCTCGCCTTCCCATGATGACCGATGATACCTGAAACAATAAACAATTGGGTAAGCACAAAGCTTAGTGAGTTTCCTCCAAAATACCCCATATGATGAACATACAAGCATGCTTAACGGCCCACAATCATCAGATTGGAATGCCCAGACCCAATCAGTCCTCGGACTGGAATGCCAACATGCAACGGGTCCAATCAGCCATCGGGCTGGAATACCCAAGGTTTTTTGGCCTATCGCCTCACCCAACCGCTCTTCCCAAGCCTCCGTACCTACGGATTATAGCTGGCCCTCACCGGGTATCTTGGCCTACAACATAAAGCAGGACCGTCTCAACCTACTACCACCATATGTCGACATGTAAACAATCAAGGATCAGGCAGGTACATAATACAGGCAAACATCAATCATACAATTCACTACCGCCTACTAGTCCTCTCACAACACATTGTCTCGTTACCAGCTAACCTCCATGAAATGCATAACCATAAGTAACCAAATATGAGATAGCCACCCGAACATATTATCATACTCTAGAGCCATAACCAAATATGGAACATGCAAGAAAGCCTAGATCAAGAGTCCTCGGTCTATCCTACGTGACTACATACAGACCCTAGGGCACTCCACTAGATGATAACCAACAAGTACAGGTAGACATACAGATCTATAGAACACTACCGCATAGCAACATCTTATATACCAGGATACAAATCTAATAGATCACTATAGCATAGCAACATCCTATATACCAAAATACAAATGTAACAGATCATTACAGCATAACAACATCCTATATACCAGGATACATATCTAACAAATCACTATAGCATGGCAACATACTAAATACCAACAATCCAAGGAATACATAACCGTATATACTCAGAGGTGAGATAGACACCTAGACAGCTGATCCTACTCTAGAGCCACAACCAAACAAGGAACATGCAACAAAGCCTAGATCAAGAGTCCTCCGTCTATCCTACATGACTATATACAGTCCCAATGACATCCCTTTACTAAAATATAACCAAAAATAGTGGGTCAGCATTGGTTCCTTCGATCCACGGGTACAATGAGGCAAAACTCACCTGAAACGAAGAAACCCGAAAAGCTGAGACGATTTTTCCTTTCTTTACTGTGTGCTCCCGCGAATCCGCTAATCACCAAAACCAATTAACACCTTTATTAACAGTTCAAAACCCTCAATTTTGACCTAAATTAATACTTGGTCAAAAGTCAACGTTCAACGAAAGTCAACAAAGTCGAAGTCCATGGCAGCTGCGTACGCCCAACGTACTCCTCGTACACCTAACATACACGACCTGATCTTATTTCTCCATTAAGTACTTTATCACTGAAGAACTTTTGTCTGGAGCTCAGATCTAGACTCAAAACATCTACTTAAGTCATAAAGTTTCCACCTTTATGACTTTCCATGGCTTGAAAAGGTCCAAAAGCCAAAACCCTAACTTATTAATCCATTATGACATCATAACTCTTGCATGGAATGGATAGACAGACCAAGATCACATTTTTATGGTTCCTAATAGCTTCATAAGGGATAAAGCTTTGAAATTTACCCATTAGAATGATCCCAATAATCAAGATCTAATCTTTAAGTCTCAAAGGGCCCAAAACTGCATCTTTTTCAACTTAATCCATTAAGTCCAAGTCTCCAACCTTCAGATCTGAATCAATATGATGTTTAAATGGATAAAGTTTCCAACTTTATCCATAACAAGGTCAAAAGCTTTCAAGATCTAAACTTTATGCACTTAAAGTGACCAAAAGCTCATAACACCCAAAACTAGCTAGATTTAACAATTGCATCATCAAGATTCAAACTTTATACCTCCAGAAGAAAGATCAAGGTGAACAAGGTTTGGATATACAAGCTCCAATGCAACAAACACTTATCAAATGAGCTCCTTCTTCGCCAAGATGCACCAAGAACACTCCAAAGCACTTAAAAAAACATTCTTTTTGCTCACAAGGCTCAAACTAGGGTTAAAGTTTGCAAAGGAGGACGTTGAAGGTGTGGAGGATGAGAATGGTAAGGGTTTGGGGGAGTTAAGGAGCTTAAATAGTGCTCAAAACCCTCAATTTAGGGTTTAGGGTCTGATATCGTACGCCCAACGTACTCCTGGTACGCCCAGCATAGCAGGTTGATTGCCAACGATCCTCCT